GGCGGTGGCGGTGGCGGTGGCGGTGGCGGTGGCGGTGAGTGGACCGGGCTCGAACCGGCCACCGCGAAGCCGCGGTTGGCCGGTTTGCGGGCGGTCCGAGCCGGCCCAGCTGGAGGCCGGTCCTTAATAAAAGGGTCAGCAGCAGACTGGCCAGTTCCGCCCACCTCGGGGTGGGGAGCGGCAGGGAGAGGGGCAGGAGAGGTACCAGAAGACCGGTCTTGTGCTGACCGGCCGTTGGTCGGCCCCATTCTGGCCCCCCTACCCCGCCGGGCCTGCGTCTCGAGGGTGGGAAGAGGCCGATTGGTACTCCTGTCCGCTCTGACCTCAGCAACCCCCGTCGAAGGCTGTGTTGCGATGGCCACCGGTTGCCAGAGTCGCGTCGGGCATGGGCGTAGAGGCAGTCGAGGGTGAATCGTGCGACGGTGTCGCGGAGTTTCGAGGGGAAAGGAAAAGGGAAGAATGCCCATTTGCTCTTGCCGAAACGAGGCGGAAGTGACCAGTCAGTGCTGGCAAGGGGGGGGGAGGGGAGGGGGAGACGTATTGTTCGTGTGAAAAAGTGTGACATGAAGAGGATTGTGTGTTGGCATCAGCGCAAGATGACAGCCGAGTCCGGTGCTTCTGCAACTGGTTGCCTTTATCCGACCTTCAGGTTGACCCAATCCGCAGACATGCTCACAACGAGAAAAGCATTTCTGCAAATCTTCTAATTATCACCAAGTCAACAAGACTAGCCGGTTCCGTCCCATAACCCAACAGTAGATTACACATTGTGCCCATACTTGTATGTGTGTGTGTCAACATGTGTGTGCAGGTACGGCAAATGCATGCCTAAAAAGTCTAGCATTTTATCCTTTTTGGTTGTTGCATGCAATGCTTGTCACGAAATTATAAAGTTCCTCCCACCAATTTTGTCGAGTTTATTCGAGAAATATATACCAAAAGGGGCAGAGTCGAGCGCAATTGCTTGAGCTGGCGTTCGTGTGAAGCAGTTCATTTCGTGTGCAACTGCAAGCCGAAGAGTCTTTTGGCTTTTCACATTGTCTCGCTTCACGCCCTCCACGCCATCTTGTGCCCCATTCCGGCTGACAACGCAACGCAACGCCCATTGACACACACCCTCAGAGTTGACAGCCATTCTGCAGACGCTTCAAGTCATCCCCAACTCACCAAGCCTGCATCCAACCCATCTTCTACATGTTATGTGCACTGAAAAATTAACGTAAATAAATATGGAAGTCGCAACTTGGTCTTGTTGTCATGGCGACTAAGTGGCACGCACCTTGTCCGAAGTCCTTTGCCAGCGTAGGCAGCATAATTGGCTCCATCAGACCGTGGACTTGGCACATTCCCAGACGTTTCGCCGGCAGCATCAGCCAGTCTTGTCATTCTGCTTCACCAACAATTGTCTTCTTTGTCCTGCTGCATTCAGTGGCGTAGTTCACTCGAAGATGGTATTGCCGTCGGTATGGTCGCGGTCTTCTCTCGATGTATGGCAGTGCATTCAACTAAGCCGCCATGGCAACAAGGCCAAGTTGCGAAAACGAGGTCAACCCACTTCTCTAAATCGAAAGGAGACTCCGAGCATACCGAGAGTCACACCATCTCGGTTTTCATATCTTCGTAAATAAATGTATTACACACCAATTTACATGTATTCAATTATGCGGTTGTTTGCTTACAAATTATATTTCTAACAAATAGTGTGTTTGTTTTTAGGGACAATTTGAACCAATTATGATCTCATGCTAATGTCATGAAAGCATCTCATCTTAAACCCGAATAGATTATACAAAAACCGAGGTTTTTGGACTTTCTTGGGGTGGGGTGTGACCTCGTTTTCGCAACTTAGTCGCCTTCTTAGATCAGCCCATTCGGACGCACCTCTTCCGAAGTCGTCTGCTTTAGTAGTTCGCCCATTTCCCAGCGTCGGACCGTCGAGGTGATACATTTTCGCCGATCTTTCACCGACATGACAGCTTTGCCAATCTCAGCATCATTCCCAGCTTCAACTCGTCCAAGAGACAAGTCAACTTAGTCCATTGGCCAACTTTCTTTGTCCTGGTCTAGCTATCTATCGCTTATCTACCCCCCCCCCACACCAATCGTACCACAACTTCTGATTCGTCAACATTTCACTCGTCAAGAGGTGTGCCCTTTTTGGCGAATTTAGTGTGTTCACATCGCACCCGCTGTTTGCCCAATGTGT